ATATATATATACTTTGAGAATGATTTTATTATATATTTTTTCCATTTTAATTTGTTTATTTTGTTTTAATTTGACATAAAGTTATAAAAAAGTACAGAAGACTTATGAATCTTATCGTCTTAAAATAAAAATATGCCAAATGTAACAAAATTGTCTTTTAATATTTTTGGTTTAAAAAATTCTATTTGGAAAGTCAATATATATATACTTTGAGAATGATTTTATTATATATTTTTTCCATTTTAATTTGTTTATTTTGTTTTAATTTGACATAAAGTTATAAAAAAGTACAGAAGACTTATGAATCTTATCGTCTTAAATTAAAAATATGTCAAATGTAACAAAATTGTCTTTTAATTTTTTTGGTTTAAAAAATTCCATTTGGAAAGTCAAAATTAAAGAATTATTAAAAAATATTATATGTATATATATTTTGAACACCCGTGACACATTAGAGAAATATGACCTAACGGTAAAGCGAATTCAAGGAGGATAATGTTTTGTGGTTTCGAGTCCCATATTTTGCTAACAAGCAAGGGATGCTCCCTTAAACATTTTTACTTTTTTTTTTTCTAATTTAAGAGTTTCTTAATAAATACTCTTAAATATATTTAAATAAAAATAAATAACATATTTTAATATTCTTTTCTTAAAAAAGGCACAAGAGCGTAGCGAGCACAAACAAAGAAAATGCACATGGGTCTCCTTGAAGAATGGTAGCACGCTTCTTTCTCATATCGATCAAGGCTTTACTTGAGTAAGGGGAAAGAAGTAAGGGTGTAGCACCTGCGTGAAAGTCGTTGCACCTTAGCGCATCCCTTTTCTTGCAGAAGTGTTAACGACAACCTTATGTGTATTCTATGTTTAGCTACATTACCAACTGTCAGTTCTTGTTCAACTTTCAAAGGCACGAATAGATTGATTTGAGAACTTGTTTCAGGGTTGCCACGTCAGAGAACTTTCATAATCTCTTCTGCTCTCGGATCTAATTATTTGCTTAGTGACTCAATCTCTCTTTCTTTTGAAGGTGCAAGCGATAACTATTTGAAGGCCTCACACCGACACTAGTTGAACCTTACCTTGAAAATAAGGTGATAGGCCGACGTTGAACTCTTCAACTTGGCCACTGAAGAAGGGGAAGACTGGGTATGTATGAAAACTAATGTTTGTGGTTTGAGTTCGCTTATACAAGAGGAAATCATGAATGATCCTTTGCGGGATTGAATTTTTTTATAGTGAAAAATCCATAAAGCACGACCCAAGATCCACGACATGAAAATCAAAATAAGAATAACAATGCTTAAATAAATCTTTATGTTTAAAAATATCAACTCACAAAAAAATCACTTTTTAGTTTAGTATTTAGTAAATTGAATTAATTAAATTTAAATTTCATGTGACACAAAAGGATCTAAAAGACCCAAACAAATTAAAATAAAAAAATCTAAGGTAATTGATAAAAAAAAATTCTAATTAAAAATATGTCAAATTGAACTACAAATACCTCAATATTTTTGTATCAATATAATGAATCAATCAATTAAGTTTAATATAGTTAGCTTTTTCCCCATAAAGTGCAAGCTGAAATAATCGATAATTATTTAACCTTTAAATCATATATTTTTAAATTATTTATATCTTCCTATTAAAAGAGAAAAAGGGTTTTGCTTTTACCTTAATTAAAAGAGTTGTGGCTATAGCCTTGGTCCATTCAGAAATTAAAGAAAATCAACTTCTATTGTTTTGCTCTTCTACAGCGCAACTGCAGTTTTGCTCTTCATCTTCTCACATAGTCGATCAAAGCTCATTGGTAAGTCTCCTCTTTTACTTCAATATTGTTCTCTCCTCATACTTCCATGGCCCTTTTCTCCTCTGTTCAATTCTTCATATCAAAATACTATATTCTTATTTATGAATAGATTTGTCATAAGTATGAATTGAAGTTTCATTTATATGTGGATTCATTGGTTTCCTTTGTGTTCCTGCACTAATTACTGAATGTGGTTTCTCTATTGATTTGAGGCGACTCATATCAGTAGTTGTTAAGAGTTCTATCTTCTGGATTGACCTTTGGGTTTAAACAATGCATCTAAAGGAAGAAATAAATTAGGGCTTGTCGTACCAAGTTCATAAAAGACATAGTAGTAAGAAGTAGAGAACCAAGAAAAACATGAATAATTTGTTAACATAGGACTTGTCATTCTGTTATCGTATACTCATAAACGAAGTTGTACTTTAGATAAAAATGGTAGGTAGGATAGAATAGCAGTCGAAATTCAGCGTGTCGATGATTGCTTTTACTCCGAATGACTCTGTTATCGTTAAGGTGTGAGAATGGCAAGGATAAACAAATGGTCATTGCTTTTAAAGTGTAAGTTGTTGCTAAGGTGTTAATCACAAGAATTGTAATAATTGAAGGAATATATAAATGAATCATAGATTTGCCGGCAATTATGTGCAACACACATTCAATAACAAGTAACATAAGTAAGCAGGAAAAAAGTAAATTCCTAGCTAGATGTTAATTCACAATGTCAATTCAGTTGGTGCATTATTTCCCCTGTAAATAGATTGGATAAGTTTTTGGAATTGTTAGCTCCCTGTCTTTAGCTCAGTAGAATATTTGGGGAATTCATTTGGTTGTTTCACAAGTTTAAGCCTAGGTTTGCTTCTTGTAACCTGCATCTTCTTTACGTCTTTGTTGTATGATATTTTTACTTCACATAAAACAAATAGATTTGGTGGACTCTTGACTATCTTTGCTTTAGTTATCATATTATTTGTTATTGGCTTATTGCTACCTGGTCTTTTCATTATTTTTACAGTGGCGTCATCACTGTTGCATTTCCTTTTCACGCTTGATTTTTATATGCTTTATTTGAGATGAAAGTCTATCGGACTTAGCCTCTCTACCTTTGTAGGGTTAAGGTTGCAATATGCACCACCCTCCCTAAACCACACTTGTGAGATTACTTATATTATTGACATTTCTTCTATCGAAGGAGCCCCATTTTTGCTTGTTGGTTTAAACATGTAAATCTTTTATAGCAATTAGGCATGGTTATTGGGGTAGGGCATGGTAGAACACACCCTTAACAGGGAAGGAGAACAACTAAATGGGCGGGGCATGATGAATCTTATTTATTTAAATCTCACATCATTTCTTGAATTTGACAACCAAAAGTACACCGTTTGAAAATTTTTGCAGCACTTGGTGTGGTAAAGCCTAAAGCTCAAGTGCTGGAGACAACCTGTCAAAAATTATAGACAACAATATGGTTATCAAAAACAAATCACACCATTTTAGTACATTTATAAGTGGAAGATTATATGCTCGAACTGTATGTCCTAGTCTAGCTTAACATTAAAATTAGAATAGACTTACAAACTTGACCACAATAAGCTTGGTCGACTTGTATCACAATGTTTTTTTCTTATAGGTATAGGTTTAAGTTATTTTTTTGATGAGAGGTATGGGTTTAAGTTATATATTATATTATTTACTTTCAATACACAAATAGCACAAACTTCTTCCTGTAGACAAGCAATTCTTGTGGACTTGTGACTATCTTTACTTTAGTTACCATATTATTTGTTATTGGCTTACTGCTACCTGATCTCTTTTTCAATATTTTTTAGAGTGGCGTCATCACTATTGTATTTCCTTTTCATACTTGATTTTGATATGCTTTACTAGAGACGAGAGTCTATCTGAGTTAGTCTCTCTACCTTTTTAGGGGTAAGGCTACATATGCACCACCCTCCCTAAACCACCCTTGTGAGATTACTTATTTTATTGACATTTCTTCTATCGAAGGAGCCCCATTTCTGCTTGTTGGTTTAAACACGTAAATCTTCTCTAGCAGTTAGGCATGTCAATTGGGGTAGGGCGGGATAGAACACACCCTTAACAAGAGAGGAGAACAACTAAATGGGGCGGGGTATGATCAATATTATTTATTTAATATACATAATAGAGCAGGGTACTAGGCCAATCGTATTGCAGTTTATTGTTTACTTGTTGGAATACAAAAGAGCAGAGTTGTTTTATACATACTTGAAATTTGTCACATCATTTATGGAATTTGACAATCAAAAGTGCACCGTTTGAAAAACTTTACAGTAGTTGGTTTGGTAAGGCCTAAAGCTCAAGTGTTGGGGGCAACCTGTCAAAAATTATAGACAACAATATGGTTATCAAAAACAAATTACACCATTTTAGTACATTGAGTAAGTTGTTGTTTGGAGTCCCTAAAAGCTACTTTTCGCTAGTATTCCATCATTGATGGAATATTTATTTTATTTGAAAGAATCATGCATGTGCTTCTAACAATATTTATTTGATAATTGCTATGTTTGTACAGTTGATCATGGATAAAGGCTGGATGCATGAACCAAAATTCTCTAAAAGATATGTTGTGGCTGTTCAATCTTTTATGCAACTTGTTCGATCTCACTTTGATCGAAATTCTAAAGTTCGATGCCCATGTCAAGATTATTTAAATATTTATTTGCAAACACAAGAAGTAGTGTATGACCACCTATTGATCCAAGGAATTATGGGAAGTTACGTGCAATGGATCTACCACGGAGAACAATCACTAATGAG